CATTTTCTTTTTTTTTTCTTTTTTTTTCTTTTTTCTTTTTTTTTACTGCGACCGAGCGTCGCGCGAGAGACGTGGGAGATCGTTTATTACTAATAATATTATTATTATTTTTTTTCATTTTCGCTCTTAACATTGTGCTCTTTTATTCTTTCGGTTTTAAATATATATACGAATTGACTGATTTTTCAAAATCTTCGCATATACAATGATTCTCGGAGGCTTCTTTTCCCCTTGTCACATTATTTCTTATTAGTATTGACACTTTTAGGCGACCTGGAAACTCGGCTTTTTTTTCTTTTCTTTATTGTATACGATATTATTTATGTTATTTAGTTATGTGTAAAAAATTGAAAAATTTGCTTCGAAAAACGGAAAAAGGTTATCATTATTATTATATAAAATGCACCTTGGAAAAATGGCAGCCCTCGCAAATATTTTACACGTGTCTTCATGTTATTCATCGTTATTATTTTAGTTTACTTTTGTGTCGCTTAAGAGCCTACTTACAATCTAAATACGAAAATCTCGGCAACAGTACAATATTGCAACATTGAATCGATTACTTGTTTTTTTTTTTTTTTTTATTTCGATACATTAAAAAAATTTTCTCACTCCACTACCAAAACGTATCGTGATCGGGTACAAAACAAAGACTTGTATGATCGCACTGATATGAGTAGGTATGCAACATTTCACGTTTGCATAAATACATTTGTGACAATTAGGGTTTTACTGAAAAAAAAAAAAAAACACAAGCGAAATGCAAGTATATGTTAAATTATACAAGTTACATTACCGAAAAATTGTACGATGCAAGAGCCCACAGTTATACAATGATAAAACGTTGTGTATAAAGAACATACGTCTCACTTGGATCCTCGAGTATCTTCTTCGCACATAAATTTAATTGAATATATATATACACATAAATTTGTTCTCTCTCGCTCATTCGCACACAATACATTTTTCGCACCCAACTCCCGCATCATCTTCACTGTCGTTATCACCTCATTTTAACAAAATTTCCCAGTGCACTCGCGCTCTCTCTCTCTCTCTCTCTCGTCGCTTGTTTTTTTTTCTCTTTGCTTTTCATCGTTTTCTTGCTTCTTTGTTTATTTATACAGAGACGGCAAAAAGTGCGTTTTTTGCTCGATTTTTCAAAAGTTATTCAATCGTCGCCTAAAAATTTTCGCTCGTCGAACGAATCCGCTTGATCACGGTTTTTTTTTTTTTTTTTTTTTCACGTCCTTTGGTACTAAACAACCGTTCCACTATGAATTCGTGTATATTTTTCCTTATCAATAATTATTGATTATATCGTTACAGGCTATAAAAAGTTAAAAGTGACAGGTTTTCTTTGTGCGATTGGTATTGTTGAATAAATTTCGTCCATCAAAATCCGAAAGACTCCGGAGGCCCACATTGCATTGGCATTACTTACAAAACGTGTAATTAGTTTCGTTGTAATGTGATATATTAATGGCAATGAAACGTCAAGTTCGTGTTGCGCGAAAAATAGCAGTCACCTTCAAGTTTTTGGCACCAAAACCGACTCGCTGACATAAAACTGAAAATCGAAACACCAGCAATTCACTAGATGAAAATTTTAGATTGTAAAAACACGCGCGCGCACTCTACGACGCTCGCAAATCTTTCGGACTCATCAAAGACCCAATTCAAAGCGGAACAGCCTCGCACCAAGTTCGCGATCCTCGATTCCCAAAAAACGCCTCCTTCGTCGTTTTCAAAAAGTATTTAGGCCCACACATTGATGCATTTTAAGAAAAAGACGCCGATCTCACGGCCGTTTAGGAATAGAGAAACATACAATACAAATATACGAAGATACGCCTTCATTGTTATCCTCCTCGTATGAGTCTCTTGATTACTTTTTATTTTTTTTTTTTCTATTTTATTTATTTATTTTTTTTTTTTTTAAAAAAAAAAAAAAAAAGCTCATGTTGCATTACAATATTTGCAAACATGTATAAAAAAAATTGTAATGAGCAATGCTAAAATGGTAAAAAAAAAATCTTTTTTACATCGTGTCGCTTTTCCAGCTTATACGATTTTTTAAAAAAGCTTAAAAGGACGGGTCTGAAATTAAATAACACGAATTCAATTACGTGTATATAATAAAAGTCATTTTTTTTAATGCACGCGATAGCTCGACCATTACAATGTCTCAATCCCGCAAGAATCACTCACACACACGCAATATAATAATCGGCTTTCGCTAATAATCTTTGTGTTTCTGGTTCTTCTCGTCACTTTCATCTCATTTGGAAAAACCGCGATATACATATTAAGAGCGGCGGAACGCAAGCAACAATATATACACATGAAAAAGCGCCATTTTTTTTTTGTTATTTTGCTTCATTTAAATTACGTTTGAATCCTCTTCACTTCATTACCATTTTCTTTTTTTTTTCTTTTTTTTTCTTTTTTCTTTTTTTTTACTGCGACCGAGCGTCGCGCGAGAGACGTGGGAGATCGTNTATATACTAAACGGCTCGTCTCGGCGACCTTGTGTTGCCGATAAGTAAAATGTCACTCCGATGATGAAAACAAAAAAAAAAAAAAAAAAAAAAAAAAAACAATCATATAATCCTCGAAAAAATTATTTTATACGACCGTCAATGATAATTACCTAACTAAGGGTTGTTGCTTTGAAATAAAAATTAAAATTACGACAAAAAAAAATAATAACACTTTCATAGAATAAAGATTCCTGCCCGCACACGGTTTCGGGGACGGAAAGAAATAAAAACAAAAAATAAATCAGTTCGCTATGATCTCGGATTCTTCCCCTCGGATATATCCTTCTCTCCTTAAGCAATCTTACCACGAAGATTCAGCCCAGCTCTGTCTTACGTGTGGGTGTATATCATATATATACGAAAATGGATGATGTTTGTTGTATCCTCCTTCCCCCCGAAAAATCCTATAGATATATATGAAAAAAAACACCTGCGCGGGACTCGATCCTCTCTTAGGCTCTTGCTTGCTATTATTCTTATTAGTGTGTTACACTTATATTTTATTTGTATTTATTAATCATCCTCCAACAGCTTCCGACACTTAATAAATTGTGTAAACGTTACGTACGAATGTATAAAATCCGCGGAGGTCTACCGGCAGTCGCTGAATATTACACTTACGTCTGGCTCCTTTTATGGTTAATATTGTTCATGAAAATCTTGATTGCTCCTGGCAAAGGCCCTCACTACAAGTATCTCTTAGCTTCTCTCGCGAAAAAATGTGTATCACTTGTACAAAAAGCATCTGACTTCGAGGTTCCTCCAAAATCTCGCCGCTTATTTTACGCGCGGGTAGGTTATTTTATTTATTTGCTTAGCTAGTCTCTCGCTTTGCTTAAAGAAGCCGAGTAAAATCACATGGGTTATTTATTATGATCGTTAAATTAAAACGTAGCAGTGAATGATTGATTTTTTAATACAATTTTTTTGTTTAACTCGTCGTGTATTTTGGTATTTTTTCAATAACAAAGAAAAGTCTCGTGCGTTTAAAATGTATTAGAAAATTAAAATAAAATGGATGAAATAACTTAAAATAATATTTTTACAATTGTTAATTAAAATCACTAACGTTGTTCTTTGCTNTAAGGAGTATTCAATATATGCTTGTGCTTGCTCTTGGTATCATCTTGGTGTAAAACACTGTAGAAACACGAACAAAAAATATCCGCTAGGGAAGTTAATGTGCCTTCCCTATTTTTCAATGGCACGAAGAATTTTCGTGCACCTATATATCGTATTAAACGTGATATACAAATCTTCAAAGTGAGAATGCACCAAAAAAATATTTATTTAAATTCGTTGTAGTCCTTCTTATTATTTATTAACGATTATTTCCTCGAGAATAGGGGAGGGACGAAACTCAATACAACGACATTTAACTAAATATTTTTTGCCATGGCTTCCTTGACTAATTCAAGTACTTGTAAAAGAACACAAAAAGGAGATTAGAAAGGGACGGACCGTCAAATAATAAAATATTAAAAGCGAGAGGGCTGTGGGGGGGGGGACTAATTGTCGCATCTTCACACGTAACGATTATTATTTTGTTTTCTCTTAATACTCCTTAGGTACGTATGACTTACTAGCGAGTATACAAACGCTTCTTCACTTACGTTCGCTCTTTTTCGTAATAGATGAAGAGTGGGAATGCTCGGATTTAGGATTTTTTTTTTTTTTTTTTTTCGACATGGCACTAACTAACCGTGGAATGATTATGGCGCGATATTCTTTCCGTTTCATCGAAAGTATAACAATTAAGCGTCGCTTCAATCCTACATCTTTTGTTTACTCGTTCCTCTTTCACTTCATCATCTTAAGAAGCTTTCACGTTAAAAATCGTTAGTGTCTTACATTGGATCATTGTAATTTCTCATTTCTTTCATCACGAATATTATTTTTCGTCTCTTCTTCTTTTGGTATAATTCATCGTATTATACACATAAAATACCGAGTGAATGAAGCCAACCAACACAATCCAATCGGTATATGGAGTAGTTATCGGGCACCCATCCAATTAATAACAATTCTATTGACTGAATCACGCCAGCTGATAAATATTTATATACACACATGTATTTGTATATATTTAAAATGCTACCTAAAAATCTTTTACTCTCGACAGACGATGAGCTAAAAGTAAACCTGATAAAAATCCACTGTCATCTTTTTTTTCCTCAATGATTATAAAATTAAAAAAAAAAAATGAGGTAAAACTGTTTTTTTGGTACAATAACCCTGCCTTATAAGTCTCACATGGAAAGAAAAAACTTAGCAGGACGGTTAAAAAAATACAATAAAATATTTGTTTCGCACGTGAGATAAAAACATCGAACGAAATACGTTTAAAACATTACAGACTAAGTTTCTGTCCTAACTCAAAACCTTTTGGTTGGGTCATTTTGTAGGGAGATGGTTATACCAAGAAAAACAATATTTGGGTGAAAAAAAAAATCAAGTAACCTAAACCATGACGATGGCCTCCTTGCCGCAGAAGAGGAATGGGTACTGATCAATCATCGTCTGGACCACGTCTTCGAGGTAAGGCCTCATCGCCTCGAACTTTCCAAGATCCTCAAAGGTAATTGGTAACAACGTCGGCCACCAGCAAATCGCCAAATTTTTGCTGTCCATACTGTTCAGTTTGCAGTTCTCGGCCACTCTGAAAGATTAAAAAAAAATGAAGTGAGAATAAAATCACTTTCCTCGTAAATAAAAATCACTTTTAAAACTGCATGTGTTAAAATACTCACTTGACAAAGTGCTGGAATACGAATTTTAGAACGTCAAAGTTGACAACGTTGAGTTTGTTCAGCATCATGCGTAGAGCCAGCAGCCTGCCGCTTCGATCTAGAAACGCAGCAGTCGCAGAGGAAAGTGGAGAAACAAAACGTTATTTGCGACATCGAAAGCCAACGAGCGCGCCAAGTTCATAATTAAGGTGGTGGATACGTGAATGAAAAAATAAACAACTACACTATTCGATTTTTTTTTTTTTTTATATTTTGATGCATATCTACCGCCTTAAGTACGTGTTTGAAATAACAACTAAATTAAAGAAAACCAACCTTCCATATTCATGCATGTCGCGGACATCGGTTTGCTGATACCACGTGCACCTTTTCATATAAAAAAAAAGAACAAAACGACAATTGTCAAAATAAATCTTTGCTAGTTGATTTTAATGTATGCATTAAAAAAAAAAAAAAAGAAAAAGTGCAAAATTAAACAGCACTCTGCTAATTAAGAAAATAATATCTAAAATATTGCAGCGCAGCCTAGATAATTACTTTGTATAAATAAAAGAATAATCATTCAATAATGAGATGAGTAAAAAAAAGCGTGCCTTGTAAAAACAACAACTTACCCGATATATCCTCAAGCTGGCTCATACTATCTTTATCGATAAGGGGTGGTAGCCTCTTTGAGAAGAAATCTTTCAGTGCCGTGGCAACGGCGTTAACGGGAATGTCCAAAGAGTGTATGTCTACGTTGCCATCTACGAAATATCACTTTTTAGTATCCATCGACCGGATTACTTTATATCATTTAAATCAACGAAACGCGAAAATTATTTACCTTCTTCAAACTTTTGGAACAACAATTCGACGTGGGCACGATTACCAGGCACCCTGTATATACCCTCGGAATCGAGCCCTTCATCCTCGATAAATCTAACGCACTTCTCGAGGAACAACGGAATGGGATTCGTATCACTTTGAGCAAAATCTTCGATCAGCGTTTGAGACATAGGCTGGAGCGCCATGTTAATGTTACCACCGCCCGAGGCCTGCTTAGTCTGTTTCGTTTTTTCTTGCTTCTTTTTCTCACGCTCGCGCTCTTTTTCCGCGTGCTTCTTTAATTTCTCCTCTTTCAGTCTGCGTTTCTCTATTTTCTCGTCTTCTTTGGCCTTTTGTTTGTCCCGTTTCCGCGTCAATTTATCTTGTCCATCCTTGCTCTTGGTAAGTAGACCAAAACTTGGTGAATTGATTTCACGGGGGGACGAGACGTCTAAACTTGATTCATCATCGGGTAGGAAGTTGTTCTCGCCCGTGAGGCCTCGCTGTTTTGCTGACATCGTGCTGAACATTTCTTGAGTTACGTGTTTCAGGTTGAATGGATGCTGGAGACTTGAGGCCAAGTGCTGGGGTGGCAGAGAATTACCGAATTTATTTTTGCGTGGATTCGTCGTCGGGGCCACCGGATACTGCTTCGCATGCTGTTTGTTTCGAGATCTAGATTGCTCCTGGTCGCTTGACTCCGAACTGTCTGGAGTTTCACTCGACACTGTAAATTTCAAGATGACAATTTAAATATCTGTAACTTCAAACTATTAAGCGTTTTCAAGTTTACCTCGCTCAGTGGAATCAACTCGCCAGCTTTTATCGTCTTTTACACTGTAATTAAGACCGATAATACCATCGGTAAGTGGCCCGCCTCCTCCTGATATGCCGGACAACGACGGCACCTTGGGAGTCGCGACCGGTATGGCGGTTCGCTTTTTACGCGTGCGTTTGTGCGACGAGATCTTTTTATTGTTTAGTTTTCCCAATGCCTCTGCTATCCTTTGGCGCTCCAATGAACTCCACTCAGAGTCTGAATCACTGTAGGCTGTTGAGGGAGAGTCTGAAATAAATTTTCAAACATTAATTACCAGTTTTTTCTTTCAATCATTTGTGCAAAGACACTTACAAGGGTGGCCCTTATCTTTTCTGTGTCGTATTTTTGATTTATTATTCAGAGAATCGTGTACCAGGGTGTACACATAGTCCCCATCGTAGTGGGAATACAGATTTGGTACAACATCTTTGACCTGGACGAGGACAATTATAAAATTTAACACAACACCGTTCATAAAAAAAAAAAATAAAAAAAAAAAACCATTCAAACAAGTTTAAACTCACTTGTGCGTATTCAGAGCCAAGATCAACCATCTCGGGTGTAGCCAAGGGCGCATGTCCCAGACTCATTTTGCCATGCTCATCCTTTTCCCCAATAGCCATACGCGATATCACTTCCGACACGTTGGCGAAATCTTTAGAATTGATTTTACCGGGCTGCTGTTTTATGAGAGTTTGGCTGTTTCCCTTGGGTCTAGACTTAGTCTGGGGTATGTTGCGTCTACCCGTTGTGAAAGCGCGATGAGAGTAACTGTTTGTCACACCGTCCTGTTGCTGCTGCTGGTGCATGAAGGTGTCTTTCACCCAGCCTGAAACCGTGCGAAAGTGCTTCATTGCTTTTCGCATGGCAGGGGAGAAAGAAAAACAAATGTTTGTTGTAGTATCGTTTGACAAGTATTGGCTTTGGCATTTATGTTAAGTGATTTATGATGCATCAAATGGTTTGATTATTGAAATAAAGAATTTTACGCTATATCGTACCAGACAGCTTGCTGGTGATGTCGCCACCTCGACCGTAGTCCCGATCTCGTTCTTCGCGATGATAGTCAACTTGGCTGTAAATATCGCTATCGTCGCTTGGAGTCGCCCGATTGTCGACAAAATGCTCGTTCAGGCCACCTTCGCCCAATTCACCGTCGGGCGTCAACTGTTCGTACGATTCTGAGCCACTTCTGAAAGTTACCGACATACTACTTCACGTTAGACGAGGGAGATTACAGTAAAGGTCAAAAAGACAGAGGAACCATATTGTCAAAGATAGGAGAGTCCAAGGAAAAATGAAAGTTAAAAGACAAGAGAGTACTAACTTACCCGTCATCGGGTGTTTGCAGGTGGTAGCTTTCGTGCCGAGGTGGTGGCATAGGATGCAGAGCTGAATATTCGAGAGTGCCTTCGCCACTGTCATTGAGATTCCCAGGTTCTTCCATATTAAAAGCCTGCTCGATCTCTGGCTTTTTGTCCCACACCTCCTTGAAGAATGGCGTATAGAAGGCCGCTAATAAAAACACATTGATTTTTTTAAATCGAATATTGTCACATGAAATTAGACGGAGTGGAAATGATGTACTTTTTTGTTGGCAGGATGATGACGAGGTCATAAAGTGAGCCTGAAGCTTATCAGCCGTGGCATTTCCTTCGGTAATAAGATGATGGCTTAGGTCATTTGTAAAAAATGCATTAGCACCTCCGCTGTCGGTCACTGCCATTATCTGAATCGGCAGGTTTGGAATGTTGTGCGAAAAAGCGCTGCAAGATGAAATGATGAGCGATATAGAAAAACCAAACTAGGAATCAAAGATAATTAGTCCATGTAATGCGAACGTACTTCAACGTGGCCAAGGAAGCTTTTCTTTTGGTAGAATAAACAAGTATGAAACCGTGCACGAGCTCATCTCTAAAAGCATTTGCCCCGTGAAAACTCGATATCGTGACCTCGACGCGACGCTTCGAGTCACCGAGGAAAGTTTCCAAAACAATAGAGCGCTCGCTACTCAGGAAACAACACTGATGGCTCAACAATGGAGCAAGCACGTTCTCAACCGAATATGGGTCCCCGCAGAACATACACATGATTATTCTGGAAAATTATGAAAAACCATTTTTGTAACATTGTGAAATGAGAGTATTTCGGAAAGTGCAATTTACCTGATATCTGGTTCCAAGCACTCTATGACGCTTTGGTAAATATTAAGAAAACCAGCTCTATGGTTGATCGCTTGGACGAGCTGTTGAAGAGCTTCTTTTACCAACGACGATGGGAATCTCTTATCCTGTTCAAGATCTTCGAGGGCTACGTCAATAAATGGACATTGCAGACTGAAACAAGCATTTATATAGATGTGCAGTTCTCAAAGCCTTAGAATTATTATTTCTTTTATTTTACAAGTAGTTACCTGTCGGACAGGTTTTGCCCTTCCTCGCGAAGCCTCATGGCTTCGAGCTCGTCAGTGTGCGAGTCCGGAACGAACAGAATAACAATCGGCAAACCCTGGAAGGGTAGTCGATCTTCTTGTTCTAAATTCGAGAGCAACGTCTTCTCCAACGAAGAACGGACGTACTCATACGTCTCTTCGTTCGAGTATATGCAAAAGGAACCATGAGGCAGAAAGTCGGAGGTGGTAAAGGAATTGTGGGGCAGTCCGACGTCGCCGTCGATCACGCGGTAACCTAGTGTGTACAATTGGCAGTCAATTTCCACCTCGTCGTCCTCAGTCTGGGAGCGAATCTCGCGAGCGAACTCCTCGCTCAACCCACTACCACCCAATATCACAAGATTAAGTTGGTTGTTTTCTGAACTCAATTGCCACTGACTGCTGTGATTCCACGAGGACGGCCTGTGAGCTTTGGTTCCCAAGATTCGTTCGATCAACGGATCCATGCAATTGGGAAAGGCTGGACAGTGCTCGCGGATAGGACAATGGACAAAGCCTAAATGCTGAAAGAGCATTAACTTTCTGTCTTGATCTAATCTATCCAGGGCTTTGTACCTGAAAATTTAAAAAATAATGTCAATCCACACTACTTACCGTTATTCGATGTACTTAAGTGACGATTTACCTGAAATCGTCGATTAGAGCGTCGGTAATTTCTTTGATGTCATCTTGTGTGATTGTGCCAGTGGGAGCAATACTTTTGTAATGATAAAACAAATCGGCGTGCTCCAATAATAATTCTTGAAAATTGTGCTTGGCTTTCTCGATAATCTCTTTTTGATGCTGATCATAAATTTCTTGGCAATCGTGTTGTGACAGTGCCTCGAAGCACTCACGTCCCATGAATAGCACCCGCACCTCGGATAATTGCTTGCCAGGAGTAACGTAACCTGTCTCTTCGAGTAGTTGCTTGAACTGTTTTTTCCACCTACGATGAACAAACATGTCATGCTTTTAAACTATTTTTCGCTGTGAAAGAGCTTTTTAAAATTTTTTTTTTTTCTCAAAAACATTTACTTGGTTACCCCGTGATTGATTGTCATGTGCACGATTTTTGAATTATAAGTGTATGTACATGTATGTATGTGTGTTATTGCAGTAAATATAAAATTGAACTAAAAAAAAAAATTAATTTGTCATACTATGTAACTGATCCAAGCCAAACACATAAGCCCCCAGTGCAGGAAGAAAAGTTTGAAGGTACTAACAACTAATAGCGATAAATTAGCGTGTAGTTACCTTTTTGGAAGTCTTCAAAAGAAAGACGCCACCCAGAATAAAGCAAAAGCATTAGTATGCTGCAAATATAATCCTTTGCCAGCAAAATAACTTTTAATTACATCAAACGAGAAAATTTCGAGGAAAGGTGTACTAATAAATTTCATCGTTTGACTTTCAGCCATAATAAATTCAATAAAACCAATGGTTAGTAAAAGCTACAGCACACCCTAGTATCTACGCGTAAACACTATGTGCGCATTAAAATAAGATTCGCTTCAATTTCTATTGTTTATAGCACCTAGTAAGGAAAAATCAATGACTACTCACTCAAGTCGCCGTTGCTCTTGCTGCAATGCATTTACATGATTCTTAAATACTGTCTCAGCCTCGGGCGTCTCTAATACATCGTACGGTATTTTTGATGTATTGTTCTCGCCAAAATCGTAATCAATCCAAGGTATGTCTTCTGGACACTCATAAAAGTAACGATCAAAGTCAGGATGTTCTTTGATGAACTGTTGGACGTTTGACCATTCCCTGCAACAACAAAAAATTTAATTTTTACACAGGGCTCAAAAAAAAAATCACTCCAAAAAACTATTATTTACTCGTTAATTAAATTTGCAGGATCCGGACTAATCTCGTGCAAAATGTCGGGCAACAATTCAAGGTAGCCTGATATCTTTTTAGCCACTTGCTCATCCTTGAGTTTTTTTATGTGCCGGCGGAATAGCCGCTGCGTAGCGTCTATACCGAATAGCTCGACGAACGTCGTAAACTCCCTGTGTTGAGCAAGCTTTTTTGACGCCTGGGACCAGATTGCTCGATAATCCTGTACGTGAATGCGTATGAGCCTCTGAAGCGATTCTGTTGATGCATCCATGAGCTCTTTGCGCTGACGTGCTGCTTCAGTGAACGGTAAAATCTGTTGAGAGTACAAACAAAAATCAATACTTCAATTTTTACAATTGGTCGTATATAATTGGTCGTTTAATTGAGAGTTTGAAACGTACCTTTGTGCGCAACTTCGTTTTATCGACGAACTGAGCTATAGTCATGAAAGCGAGATCTACGTTAATATTCTCGTGCGCGGATGTCTCGACCATCAGAATCGAGCCTTTGTATTCCTTCCTCATGACCAGCTTTTCAGCTTCCTTGACGTACTGCTCATTTGCGTCGTCGTTCTTTGTCGTCACCAAAACGATCGGCTTCTTTGTTTTCATGAGGTTGTTCAAAATGTTCACCACATAATCAATCTGTTTTTCCACCGACCTATTGGGCACGGCGCTCACGTCAAACACACACAAGAAGCCGTCGATATTCAATTTGCCATCGGGAAGAACTTTCTGCTCGTATTCTTTCTCGATACCCAACTGATTCTTGCAGATGTACATGAGCTTCTCGGCGCTCGTAATTTTAGTGGCAGCACAGCGCTTGTAATACGGCTCCATCTTCCCACCTTTGAACGGTTGGAATGACGAGTCATCAATGAACTCTGTATGCTCAATGACCTGGAACGAATAATCTGTCGAACCGTCCTCCATTGGCTTCACGACTTCACCCCAATATAAAAAGTGGTCATTGTTCACTACCCGACCACTGAAGTCAGACTGTAAAAAACCAATTTCCATAAGTAAAATGAACACAATAAAAATTTTTCAAGTAAATGGATCATCAGAGAGAATTATACCTGTGACAGTACAGATATGTGATCTACACTGTAGTCGTCACTATGTGAGCGCATGAAGCGATTACACAGGCAGGACTTGCCAACGCCTACGGAGCCTTCGTTGCCAGACAATCCGACCACCGCAACGTTGATGCTCTTCAAGTTATCGTTCTTGCGAGCCATTTTTATCAACTGCTCCTTTCGAGCTGATGCTACTTTCCAATGATCTAAACTCAGGCTCGATGTTCAGTAGACACTTTTGCATTTCACTTCAGTGGCTCCTGGATTTTGCTGACTTTGGATATCATTGCTGCGTTGCTCTAAAACGAAAAACGAAAGAAGAAATTTTTTGTTTTTTTCAAAAGAGCATAATCAAAACGGTTTCCAACCCACCTTTCAGAGCTTTACTGACTTTTTTTGGTAACATTTTGTCTGTCACATAAGGCTGAACTTAATAATGACATCACAGTCAAGTTAAGCTAAACATTTCAGTGGAGTACAAAAATTACTTGTAAAGTACAAATATTACTTTAGAGTTTATATCACATTCAGTTGCAAAGAATATTATTTGATATTCTTGAGCAGAGCAATGTTTTTCTTCTAAAATGGCACTGGGTATCTGAAAATAAACAAACGTATAATGTAACAATTTATAATGATACTGCAATGTTACACTAAATTCTATAGACTTATATAGTTGTTTTATCATCAAATCTTTTGTTAAATATTTATTGGCTCGTAAAGGCTATTTTAATACTTAAAGTCTACTATGTTGAGTTATAAAATTCGCTAATGATGTCCTGTCTGAGTCAATCAAAATTTAATTTGTGTACAAGAGTAAATGCTTGAAGAAAAAAAATCAATGTACCACAATGTTTAGAATATATTTACACGTGTTAAAAAGTATTGTCAGAAACTATGTTTAACCAGCAGCAATTAGCAAATGCCTCTTAAATGTTCACCTTCACACCTGAAAAATTTCACACTTCAAGCTATATCTACGTCATGAATCATGCTCTTTAAAACTCAAAACCAACAATGTTGACTATACCTTGCAGATCGTTTTTATATCATCAAAAAAAGAGTTAAAATATTTTACGAAATTATAAACCATGTTAACAACAGAACATACACCCATGACAGAACTTTCAAGGTGTCATCTCACAAACAAAATAACAAACAAACACAAAATGGCATCAAAGAAGTGTCAAAATTAACTTTTGGAAAATCCTACCTGGTTATTAATCATAAAAATGCCTCTTAATCACCATACACGAGTACCATACATGTAATTCATAGAGCAGGACTGAATGAACCTGGTGCATTCGTCGTTGTTCTCTCTATCACACACATACCACCCCGGTACCCCCCGATCAATCATCTCCACGGCACACGTAAACAGACGCCCCGGAGCACGTCGCCTAGTCCCAAGAAAAACACACACCATTCGCCTGCCCAGGAGTCTGGAGTTGGCTTGTACTACAAAAAACCTACACGCTCAAAAGACACAGACAGCACCACCCACACACACATCCCCCGCAAAGTCGAGAAAATCCTCCGAGACACACAAAGGATATCTGTACAACTCTCGTCGTCCTCCTCCTCGACTCCTCGGTCCTCACCTTTTGTTCATCAAGATTCCTCAGCGCGCATCAGCACGAAAACTCTCCAGCCCCATCCGCTTGCGCAGCACACATCAGGCAGTTGGCTCTCATATCCCGGCCAGCAACCCTATATAGGTGCGATGTAACCCCCAAAGGGGTTGAAGACTTCCTGCCAGAGCAGCCTAGCTGTAGCGTCGTGCTTGATACACACATAGACACATTTTCGCGTACGCGCAGATAAATATATACGCGTGACACCGGCGCTTTCACTATCGCACGGGCTCCCTCAGGATGTTATATGCAGCGCAGCAGCCAAGCCCCCCCGGAGAGCTGCACCGCGGTTATATACTAAACGGCTCGTCTCGGCGACCTTGTGTTGCCGATAAGTAAAATGTCACTCCGATGATGAAAACAAAAAAAAAAAAAAAAAAAAAAAACAACACTCTGACTCGCACTGTTTTCAACGTAGGTACTTATACGTAACTATTTATACATTACATAAAACGATGAGGTCGCTTTCGTTATTCCAATGTTCAATTTTTAGTTGGTTGGTGGATTTTTATGCGAATAAAAAGACTCGGGTAATTCTTTCGCGGATCAAACACTTTACGTGCACCTACCCCCAATCAGCCCCCAATACGTCAAGTCGCGAAGAACAAACACTGACTGTCTCGCCGAGGAGCCATCTTTGATGTGTGCGGGGTATGTACTATATATATATATGTATATATACACCTCTCCCCCAGCCCCCTAACCGCGACAGCTCGAACTACCGTGGTGTCCTTGTTGCTCCTTCGTGGGTAAGAGGAAAAACACGGGGGGGGGGGGGGAGATTACACACGATTTTCTCCGATGGGCTCTCTGAAAAACGTTTACTCGAGTGTAATTTTTTATCAACTGTTTGACTTTGTTCATAATATGTGAATGCAAATTCTTACTTTTTGGAGTTACATGTTGTTATGTATTCTGCAAACAAACAAAAATTTCTTGCAATTTCATCACGTTTTGGTACGTATAAAAGTTACGAGAGCATACATTTCATTTGTTAGAATGATGTAATATAAACGGATGAAAAAAATAAACGGGTAAACAAATTTAAGTTTTATAAGGAATTTTTAGTTGCCACTCGAATCAAAACAATAATGTTTTTTAAACACTTGGTAGGTATGGTTTTTTTTTTTTTTCTATAATCACAGTCGGCAGTGGTGTTTATCGCACTGTCCAATGTTTAACGTGGTGCAAATGATTTTTCTCCGCCTGTTCGTTTACTCATTGTTTTAAAACGTTGTTGATGTAAAGAAAAAGCTTCAATGCGATCTCATTCCAAGAAATTGAACAAAAAAAGACATGTAGCTTAATTACGAATAGGTCGAATGTATATAAATCGTCAAAACATTTATCATAAATGATTGTGCACGTTAATGTGTTTACGTCCAAGTTAACCCTCCGTCTCCCTAAATATATGTATCGATCCTCCAAAGAAAGCGACGTAATTTCCTCTATTGCGTCGTTCACACGTCCCATACTCGTTGTTCTTCTTCAAGATCTCCGCTGTTGTAATATTTCATAACACACACCATATCGAAGTATAACACCTTTTGATGATTTGTTTTGATTGATTTTTCAATGTACATTATTATCAGTAAATAGTAACCATTGTTTATTAAAGTAAGAAAAAAAAACTTTAATTTTGCTACTCGGTGACGTGTAAAACAAAGAAAAAAAAAGAAAAAAAAGGATATGACATACAGTTTAGGGCGTTTGTCAACAAAACATGAATCGTCCTGGTAAAAATGAACAAAATTTATTGTTTCGTGTACAAATGATACATATAAATAAAAGCCTAAGTCTATAGTTAGAGATTATCGTGCGTGTGCGCGTGCAAGACGCAAAATAAAGTAAAAAAAGAAAGAAAAAAAAAAAAAAAATCAATCTCGAAAAATCAATACTCCTCGGCCCCCTCGCCCTCCCCCTCGATCGAATCCATGCCAACTTCCTCGTAGTCCTTCTCGAGGGCGGCCAAATCCTCCCGCGCCTCCGAGAACTCGCCCTCCTCCATACCCTCGCCCACGTACCAGTGGACAAAGGCCCGCTTCGCGTACATCAGGTCGAACTTGTGGTCCAGGCGCGCCCACGCCTCCGCTATCGCCGTCGTGTTGGACAGCATGCAAACGGCCCGCTGCACCTTGGCCAGATCACCGCCCGGCACCACCTGCACAACATTATTCCCCAAAACCATCAAATTCCGGTTCCCCGTGTCGTCCTTTCCCCCCCCCCCCCAAAAACTTACCGTGGGCGGCTGGTAGTTGATCCCGACCTTGAACCCGGTCGGGCACCAATCCACAAACTGTATGGTCCGCTTGGTCTTGATGGTCGCGATGGCCGCGTTGACGTCCTTGGGCACCACGTCGCCCCGGTACAGCATGCAACAGGCCATGTACTTGCCGTGTCTCGGGTCGCACTTGACCATCTGGTTGGCCGGCTCGAAGCACGCGTTGGTTATCTCGGCGACGGACAGTTGCTCGTGGTAGGCCTTCTCCGCGGAGATGACCGGGGCGTAGGTGACCAGGGGAAAGTGGATACGGGGGTAGGGTACGAGGTTGGTCTGGAACTCGGTGAGGTCGACGTTGAGGGCACCGTCGAAGCGGAGGGAGGCGGTGATCGACGAGACAATTTGGCCGATCAGCCGGTTGAGGTTCGTGTAGGTGGGCCGCTCGATGTCGAGGTTGCGCCGGCATATGTCGTAGATGGCCTCGTTGTCCACCATGAAAGCGCAGTCCGAGTGCTCGAGGGTCGTGTGGGTGGTGAGGATCGAGTTGTACGGCTCGACCACGGCCGTGGACACCTGGGGGGCAGGGTAGATGGCGAACTCGAGTTTCGATTTTTTCCCGTAATCGACGGACAGGCGCTCCATGAGGAGGGAGGTGAAGCCGGAGCCGGTGCCACCTCCGAACGAGTGGAAGATCAAAAATCCTTGGAGACCGGTGCATTGGTCGGCCAGTTTGCGGATGCGATCGAGCACGAGGTCGACGATCTCTTTGCCGATCGTGTAGTGACCGCGGGCGTAGTTGTTGGCCGCGTCCTCCTTGCCGGTGATCAGCTGCTCCGGGTGGAAGAGCTGCCGGTATGTGCCCGTACGTACCTCGTCTAACGGGGTAAACATTATACATGTTATATACGTAATTATGGTGGTTGTTGAGAAAATCGGTAAGGCTAATTATTGGGGTGAAAAACAGTTCTTACCAACGACGGTCGGCTCGAGATCGACGAAAACGGCACGGGGCACGTGCTTGCCGGAACTAAAAACATCACAAAAAGTCGATTTTTTAGTTCCCCTCCTCAAACGATCTCTCGATTATACATTAAAATTCAAATGTACCCGGTCTCGCTGAAGAAGGTGTTGAAGCTGTCGTCGCCGCCGCCGATCAACTTGTCACTGGGCATCATACCGTCCGGCTGGATCCCGTGCTCCAGGCAGTAGAGCTCCCAGCAGGCGTTGCCGATCTGCACGCCGGCCTGGCCCACGTGTACCGATATGCACTCGCGCTGAAAATCGGTATCGTATGCATGTATAATATCTAGTATCTATTTTAGGTGTGCGCAAGTAAGCATACAGGTATATATAATTAGCGCGTCCGCGCTATTTTGGGTAACCGGCGTGCAATTGCGCGCAACACAGTTGAAATTATACTGAACAAATATATACCGCGTCACGGTGGTGCAGGAAACCTGGTAAAAACGCCGCAAAAAGGAGTAAGAGATAAAAAAAACAGTGCGCGACGTCGACAGGTGCAATATATCATATTACAATCTCAAATGAAGCTCGTGAATTTTAATTTTTACAGGTGCTCGCGATCGACTTGTGCCGATTTTTATGTACAAGGTTGAAATTAAATTTTTCAATAAATGTCAATATCGTTGTTTATTGTTAATTTGAAACATCTTTTCTCACTTGTATTTCTTAAAGCTTAAATATGGGTATACCTTGTTGGAAGAGTCTTACTTACCATGTTGAATAGAAGAGAAAAATCGACGAGTTACTCCTGAATATCCAAACGCAAAACTGTAGTACGTATATCTTGTTAATATACTCGTATGGGGGGGGAAAAAAAAACGGGTCGGTGTATAAGCGCAAGCCGTTTAAGCGAAGCTGGCAATGTTGCTTCTCCAAACGATCCCTGCGTTTTAAGGCGAGTCCGCGCCGAGCGCGGGACCTTTATAGACTCGCCTCCGTCCGACTCGCGCCGGCGCTCTTCTTTACCCCGTCGCAATCCATATATTTATACACATGTATAGTTACCTGCGTGTGGAAAATAGTTCGTATGGATGTATTATATTCCCTCCTCCTTTGCTTCGTACGTTATACTAAACGGAGTCAGCGAACGACCCACGCGTGTATGCCCACATTTTTTTTTTTAAAAGGCCAACACAACGCACATTTTGTATACAATAATGCGCGCAGCATCACTCACTACATCTACTGTTGCAGCTATTTCATGTTTTCGCGAAAAATAGCTTCACACCGCACTTTTAGACACATGGGAAAACTCAATTTCCTTTCGGCCTTGCATAGGTTGCTATTATGCGCTTGACGATGCTGTTTCAGATCAAGAAATCCAATACCGATCTCTAATTACATGATATCCGTGCAGTACAATGCACACGCCTGCGCGTCAATAACATACAACACAACAACGATGATTGCGTGAATCCATGTGCACGTTCATGTAGATTCATTGTGGAAAATATGATTTTTCCGTAAACGGATACCGATTTTTTTTTGTAAAATTGTACCCTTCGAGTATACATGCTTTTTTTCAAGACGGACCAAGTTATCGACGACACGATTTTTTTCCATGTCAATTCCCTCTGAAAGCCCATCAACCACGTGCTATTTGATGTTGAATTCGCGAAAATACAAAGGCATCCCATGGGTCTTTCGTTCCAGAAAATCGTACGGCGAAAGCGCGTTGGTATACACGGCAACAGCCGTAGCGGAGACTCCCATAGCGGTTGCGTGGGTCAGAAATAGTATACACGCGAGTGCGCGATACTCGGAGGCTGCGGGGAAAAAGAAAACGTCAAGCTTCGCCGTTGTCGCGACACTTATCCAGCTCGGGGGGCCTTCTCCTCGTACGCACACTCCGTCCGGGGACGTACCAATTTTAGAAGAGCCAAGCAATTGTGCTATTATTGTACTTTGGGCTTGCCCATCTGTACTACAAGTATATATTATATACACAATATATTTGCACGGATTATTATTATTCACGTTTTGATGATGGATGTTACTTTTCCGTATATATATATATATTTTTTTTCTTCTTTCCTCGTAAAGAATACGTTTTCATCAAAAGCGTCGTACCATTTAAACATCCGTGTGTTTGGTGCAAATTGTCAAATACACTCCCATTAATCCAACACGCGGACCCGTCAACAAGGCGTATGTCTTTATTTTATTCCCAAGAGATCCTGAAAAAAAAAGAGGTAAGTTATACGAGCGGTCTCGAGTCGTTTCCCTTGGTCGCGCTAAAACTCGCTCTGGAAGTACATATACATATATATGCATTATCCATTCCCGCGCGTAGGTTTGTACACGGCAAAAGCATCATATGGACAAACACCGCGCATATATATATACTTACACCTATAGGTAGGGCAGTAAAAAAAAAAGTGGCAGAACAGCTCGGTGTATAAGAGATCAACGGCCTCGGCTATATACATGTACCCGATCCGACCGCCTATACAATTATATATATGTGTACCGTATATTTTTATGTGAGACATGTATATAGGCGTGTGTTTATAATATATACAGGCTGATGCGCCAATTAGTTCCGCCCCGCGTGCCTTTTAGGCCCTAGAATACGCGCCAGCAGCAACGGCACACTTTTATACATCCGCAGCTTCTCTTCCTACTCGTCGTTCCAGCAGTGGGTACCTATACCTACTTACAAAGTTTTTTTTGCTATTATATTATATAATCGTACGTTTTACCAACAAACATTATATTTAATATCCAGAATATGGTGTACATGTATAGGAAGCTCAACCGATCCCGCGGAATCGGCGCGGTTTCTCGTGTCTCGCAAAACGATCGACGAAGCATTTTTTTTAACGGGAGTACACGAAAATCCTACGCTCCGAGGAAAAAAAAAAAAAAAAGAAGAAGTAAAACACCTCCAGCGATGGTGCTCGTAGAGCGTAAAATCGGGATAGCGAACAACCGATCGCGCGTGAAACGAGAGAGGAGGGGAACAACGCGTAATACGCGGAGGCTGACAGCATCGGAGGCGTTCGTCCCATAAATGGACACATGTGTGCCCGTACGCACTACTTTCGCTTCTACATATGGTTGACTTGTTCCGTCGATGTGCACGTAACGTATAAAAAAAAAAACAACTACGCTATGTATATACACATAAGTGGAGGGGACCTTAATTGTTATGATACATATGTACGTTTGAGGCTGTACAATAGAGAAGGTGTGTGTGGGACGCCTTTTTGATCATCGGCTCGATTTATTAAAATTGCTTACGTGCATCAGGTTTTGTGCAAATGAGGAGACAATATATATATATATGTGTGTGCTACCGATCGTGGAAGGTCGCGTGTATATATAATAGCCGCAGCGTCGATGGGTGTGTTGTTGATTCAACTGCTCTTTTGGACGGATGACTGGATCATCGTCGAAATCATTGAAATACACTGGTACTAACACGTCACTATAGCTCATATTTTTCCATGATAAAAATAATGAGAGGCAGCTGCAATAAGGGGTGAATCGCGGACTTGAAAACAACCAAAGTTATCCCTTCTCAACTAAAAAGGGCCGCCTAAATAATCAAGGAGGGTAAAGTGAAGTATTTTTAAACTTTTGAAAGAACCTCTCCGCTCTCGCTTTTACTGTTTGTCGGTAACGTCGATTTCACCCAAACCAATAGCCAGTAGACTTGTCGATGAAGTAGCGAACGACACTGACATCATAAGGTTATAGAAAAAAAAAGAGAGCTCTCTCTCCTTTTCGTATGGTTAATAAAAAAAAAAAAAATTCGCCAACATTGCCACATAGGTGTATACATTTATACCTATTAGTGAGTATTAGTTCCAAACAACGCTAACGTCGCTAACGCAATGATCGCAACACATTACTCATGTTATATCTCCTATTTCTAACCTAACGAGCAGCATCTGCATGTCATTTATATATAACACATCAGCAGAGAGAGCCTGTCGGAGCTCAACACACAACTAAACAGCAGAAGCACAAAGGATTGTTTTATATACAGTGTACAGGTCAAACCTAGAGAGCGGCAGTGTCCTCCCGAGAGGAATTTTTAATTTTTCTATCAAGAAGTTCTGACCAAAAAACATGCCACGAGGTAAGTCTCTTATCGCTGTCGCCTTGTAACCATCCTCATACGATACGCGCCCCATCCGCGAGAATGTCTTCGTACTCCTTCTGGCCAACTGCGTCGTGAAAAAACATCTTTGGTAACGCGTCACACGTTTGAGTGGCCTTGAACGCTAGAGTCTCTTGTATTTTTTTGGCGGCGAGGTGCGTCGTGGGGATACTTTTCCACCCTCGTCGTTTAACATTTTTGCTTTAGTACTTTGTCTATTCCTCTGTTTTGGGTCCTATTTTTGGATTGACTATATATACAGCTGTTTTGTGTTGAGAGCAGAAGTATTTTCAAGGGGAAAGCCAAGTTGAGCTCAGCTGACTTGTATTTTTCAATGTCAACTGTGTTGAACTCTCTCTCACAATGATATCCTCCAACGTTTACATTTGATCATTATCCAATTTGTACAAAGACAGATGATATGCATGTACAAGATTTGGCTGTACATCATAATTGCCACTACTAGTTGGTTGCATTCATTGATCAACATTGAAAGACAGTTGAAACATTCTCTTATTCTAGCCAGTCGATTTTTTTCAAGTTACCTTACAATATTTATAAGGTGTATTTTATCTGGTTACAAAATTGTTCTTGTTATTTCTAGGTAAATTTGTCAATCACAAAGGCAGGAATCGACATTTTACCAATCCTGAAGAACTAGAGGAACAACGGAGACAGGAAGAAGAAAAGAAGAAATGGAGGAAAACCCAAGATTTATCAACGAGTGAAGATGAAGAAGAAGATAATAAGGCTGCTGGCGGCAAGAAAGGCTCCGATGACTCTAGTGATGAAAGTGAGAGTGAATCTGAGTCGGAAACTGAAGATGTATGCAACTTTCGATTTAATTGTGAATCTTATTAAAATTTATTACATTAAATCTGATTTTTCTTTGATGGAACTCCACAGGGAAAGAAGAAAGGAGTAGGAAGTTTAATTCAAATCGAAAATCCAAATAGGGTACAAAAAAAAGCAAAAAAGCTTTCGCAGCTAAATGAGGTACTGGCAAATGCTTCAAAGCCTGAATTATCTCGCCGAGAGAGGTATGTATCTTACACAAAATAAAAGCTACGCAACTGTTAAAGTTATGAAAAGTAAAAAAAAAACTTTTTTTTGTGCAGAGAACAATTAGAAAAGCAAAAAGCAGCGGCAAACTATCAAAGGCTGCATGCTGCCGGCAAAACAGACGAGGCGAGAGCGGATCTGGCGCGATTAGCTATAATTAAACAGCAGCGGGAAGAGGCTGCGAAAAGACGAGAGTTAGACAAGAAAACCAAGGAGCTTGCTACTCAGAAGCAAAAAGAAATGACGCAAAAGGCTCTGGGAAAGCGAACTTAGACTCAAACCGTTTGAGACGGTAACCTCTTTGCACTTTTGGATGCCTTGATGATCCAGAAAAAAAAAAAAAAAAAAAAAAAAAAAAAAAAAAAAAAAAAAAAAAAANGAACAACCCCCCCCATGTTTTTTTTTTTTTTTTTTCACTTTCACACATTCCATCATACATGCCGTTTCACTCGGGGGATGCTTTTGCTGGTGGTTTCGTTTTTATTTCTTGAAAAATTGTAAGCTAACGAGAGGACGAGGCCGTTATTTCGGAGCTATACTTAATCTCTTTTCCAAGCCAGTCATCTACGGGGTGCAGTGAGTCAGCGTGGGTCTACTGATGCCCATTGGAGCACCACACATCATTTTCTTTCTCTTTTTCGTTGCTCCGAAATTCCTTGGTGCTCCGCCACACTGCCGTTGGTCAGCTGATCGACTACTCGGTGGTGGAGTGCCTGCGTTGGTGTGTGTGATTTTTGGTATAAGCTTAGAGGCTCGTTTGTTAAGTAATTTGCACGTAAAGTAGCGAAATTCATTTACCATTAAAACGTCAGTCAAACTCGAGGCGTTCGACGAGTTTTTTATCTCATGTGCAACTTATCTCGAACCACGTAAAAAAAAAAACTCCGAAACTGACCGATTATCCGTGTTTTTCTTCTTACCCAACTCGCGTTAGCTCATCAATTCACTGTCCGGATGTGTTAATTATTTTATGCTATTCAATAAGCTGCACTCTCGCTTTCAAACGATGATCCGTACTTATACTTGCTGCCTCTTCAGTCAATAAACTGAGATTTCATAATTCCTATCTTGTTTGTCTCGAGCCTCATTATCAAAATTTCACCAGAGCGGCAACTCACGAAAATATTCGGCTCTTTCGAAAACTTCACTCAACTTTCACAATGCAAATCATAATACTTGAAAATGTCCAATGAAAAATACTCAAGCTTGTAACTATCCACAGAAAAACTCGGAAAAAAGGAACAGTAGAAAAAAAACAGTCAAAGGAAACATGCTGTTCGCAAGAGGACTGGCCCGCACGTCGGCCACCCTGAAGCAGCAGAACCAGGAGGTAGCCCAGGCAGCGGCGGTGGCCCTGCAGTGCCTGCAAAGCCGAGGCTACGCGGACCACCAGATCCCGGAGAAGCTCCAGGAAGTGCCGACGTCCGCGAATCCGAGGTTCTTCGACATGGTGGAGTACTTCTTCCACAGGGCCTGTCAAATCGTCGAGGACAAGCTCGTCGAGGACGTTGGCAAGAGGTCCCGGATGACCCTGGAGGATCGGAAAAAAAAGGTCAAGGGCATTTTGAAGATGATGGAGCCGTGCGACCACATCCTCGAGACCACCTTTCCGCTGAGACGCGACTCCGGGGACTACGAGCTCATTACCGGGTACAGGGCTCAGCATTCGACCCACAGAGTGCCTTGTAAAGGAGGTAGGCCAAGTAGATCTTTTTTTTTTTTTTCTCCCTAATCCTCGTTTGGCCTCCAAGTACAGGCAAAGCTACTTTTCCAATTTGTCATGTTTGCTTGGTCTACTTACGTTTCTTCAGCTCCACACTTATAATTCTTCACGAAGCAATGCGACCCTAACTTTTTACAGCATGATAAAAAAAAAAAAAAAAAAAAAACAATTTTGTCCCTGGATAGAAAATTCACAATTAACAGTGGTTTATATTTACATAACTCATTACTTGCACGTCGTGACTTTGATTATTGTGTTTGAGATACATATTCTGTACACTTTTCATTTTTGTATGGCTAACCGAAAAGAATAATTTATGCATTCGCGTATAGGCAAACGCGAGCAACAAAAAATGTGAAAAGCAACTAGTTTGCTGAAAATAAGTGAAAATTCTGTCAAGAGGAGCAAGATAAAATCGTCTGTGACTGCAATCGTCGGTCTTTATTCAATATATACTATTAATGATAAATTTCTCTGTGAGCGTAAGATAAAAGAAGCTGCTATTTAAAAAATTTCTTTTTATTACGTGATTTCTAATAAAAATATTGAGAGCATTAAAGCAATGGCCTTAATGATTCCTTAATGATGTACAAAAAATTTTAATACATTTATTTCAGAATAAATTTTCAAACTTTTACATTAAAAAATGCCACAATTTCGTTACACATGTATACAAAACACAACTCTGGTTTGAAATTTGTTAATATAAACGTGTCAAGACTGTCAGAATTCGTGAAGCTTTAAAGTTATGAATACTTAATTTCCAAATTAATGGTTGACCTTATCCATCTAAAAATTCAACATCAAAATGTGTTGAATAAAAATTATTAAATAATACATTCACAAGTGAACAAACGTTTTGAAGACAAAATAAGCTTTCGTGTTAAAAATTTTAAATCCTCGCATAGTAGTAGAAAGCTTGGTCCGCTTCGTGATTGCGTAACACCGATAACGATAATGAAAAACTGAAAAAGTTCAAGAAAACAGCTTCATTAAATGTAAGAACGAGCAATAACTGCATGCAGATTAATGGATATTGGAAAAACGCGATTCTGGTGTCTGATTGTTCAATTTTTTAAACAGTACACATTACCTACTACTACCTTCTAATGTATACAAGATTAAGTGGAAGAAAAAAAAACGTTAAATTCAACACTGTCATTCTTATTTACCAGCCAAAAATTGGCTGCCAAATTGAAGTAGTAAAGTAGTATACAAGTTCTGGTATTTTACCCAAATATAAATATAAAATTGAAAAAAAAAAAAATGAGATTCCTCAGCACAAAATTTTTGTTTCAAAAGGCAATACGAACTACTAAAAAAATAGAGTATAGTTAAACAACCGATCAATAATATGACTAACACACATATGAAAGTGTATCGTGTAATATCTTTGGTGTACAGAGGAATTATACACTGCGTTTACGCAAAAAAACACAAACGAAACTGGCATCTATAGGAACCTTCCACCTTCAGTAAGTACCTCTACTTATTATAGATAAAAAAAAAAAATAAATAAATAAAGACTATTATTCAACATACAACATATGTAATTGTTTAGATTTGATTTATATCGATTTGAGAAAATACAGTAGTGTTGTATCGATATCAATTAATGTTATACGGTCCTAACTTATGAAAGATATCTACAAGACGATTTGACATTAAAATACGAATGTTAAATGATTAAGCAAATTAATCATTATTTGCAATAAAAACTCAGAAACTACAATCGACAGCTCCGTATTTTCCAAATCGTCATTTAAGTAAAAAAATGTTTTTTCTAAGACAATCAAACAAATTTTAACCACTGAACTGGTAAAAAGGGGTTTTGCGTAATCCTATAAAAATTTAAACATTATTGTTGTCTCTACCAGCTGTAGATAACTACAACAGGTTGTCGCAATCTTAATGAAGAATTTTCTCAACAAACTATAGTATATTGTTTGTACTGTTTGTTTATAAACACGAGTCAGAGCAGACAATTTTCGAAAAGTAGCAGAAGAAAAGCATATAATATATAGGAGAGGAGCTCTCTCTCTCCTCCCTTCACTTCTTTTATAAACTTTTGCTCCGAAAAACCCGAAAGAGGAGCAGAGACGGCAAAGAGAAAGAGAGAGAGCAAAGGCTGTAGAGAGCGCGGAGACGAAACGGCCGGGCCTACCTCAGTGTGTGCAGTGCGTTTCTCGCGTGGCAAGCGCACATTCCTCCGTAGCCGTCGTCGTCTACGTCGATCGTAAGTATATATACCTACTTAGTTTCGTTGCACGTCGTCGTTCTCATCACCAAAAGCCGTCTGTCCGCACGTTTTTCCTCTCACCCTTCGGTGCATGCTTCGAATGCCCTTTTTCACCAACGAGCAGACACGGGAACAACCCCCCCCATGTTTTTTTTTTTTTTTTTTCACTTTCACACATTCCATCATACATGCCGTTTCACTCGGGGGATGCTTTTGCTGGTGGTTTCGTTTTTATTTCTTGAAAAATTGTAAGCTAACGAGAGGACGAGGCCGTTATTTCGGAGCTATACTTAATCTCTTTTCCAAGCCAGTCATCTACGGGGTGCAGTGAGTCAGCGTGGGTCTACTGATGCCCATTGGAGCACCACACATCATTTTCTTTCTCTTTTTCGTTGCTCCGAAATTCCTTGGTGCTCCGCCACACTGCCGTTGGTCAGCTGATCGACTACTCGGTGGTGGAGTGCCTGCGTTGGTGTGTGTGATTTTTGGTATAAGCTTAGAGGCTCGTTTGTTAAGTAATTTGCACGTAAAGTAGCGAAATTCATTTACCATTAAAACGTCAGTCAAACTCGAGGCGTTCGACGAGTTTTTTATCTCATGTGCAACTTATCTCGAACCACGTAAAAAAAAAAACTCCGAAACTGACCGATTATCCGTGTTTTTCTTCTTACCCAACTCGCGTTAGCTCATCAATTCACTGTCCGGATGTGTTAATTATTTTATGCTATTCAATAAGCTGCACTCTCGCTTTCAAACGATGATCCGTACTTATACTTGCTGCCTCTTCAGTCAATAAACTGAGATTTCATAATTCCTATCTTGTTTGTCTCGAGCCTCATTATCAAAATTTCACCAGAGCGGCAACTCACGAAAATATTCGGCTCTTTCGAAAACTTCACTCAACTTTCACAATGCAAATCATAATACTTGAAAATGTCCAATGAAAAATACTCAAGCTTGTAACTATCCACAGAAAAACTCGGAAAAAAGGAACAGTAGAAAAAAAACAGTCAAAGGAAACATGCTGTTCGCAAGAGGACTGGCCCGCACGTCGGCCACCCTGAAGCAGCAGAACCAGGAGGTAGCCCAGGCAGCGGCGGTGGCCCTGCAGTGCCTGCAAAGCCGAGGCTACGCGGACCACCAGATCCCGGAGAAGCTCCAGGAAGTGCCGACGTCCGCGAATCCGAGGTTCTTCGACATGGTGGAGTACTTCTTCCACAGGGCCTGTCAAATCGTCGAGGACAAGCTCGTCGAGGACGTTGGCAAGAGGTCCCGGATGACCCTGGAGGATCGGAAAAAAAAGGTCAAGGGCATTTTGAAGATGATGGAGCCGTGCGACCACATCCTCGAGACCACCTTTCCGCTGAGACGCGACTCCGGGGACTACGAGCTCATTACCGGGTACAGGGCTCAGCATTCGACCCACAGAGTGCCTTGTAAAGGAGGTAGGCCAAGTAGATCTTTTTTTTTTTTTTCTCCCTAATCCTCGTTTGGCCTCCAAGTACAGGCAAAGCTACTTTTCCAATTTGTCATGTTTGCTTGGTCTACTTACGTTTCTTCAGCTCCACACTTATAATTCTTCACGAAGCAATGCGACCCTAACTTTTTACAGCATGATAAAAAAAAAAAAAAAAAAAAAAAAAAAAAAAAAAAAAAAAAAAAAAAAAAAAAAAAAAAA